GGTGGTGGTGGTAGTAGTAGTAGTCGTAGTCGTAGTCAAGTGTTTTGGAAGTGAGATTAATACATAACCAAAGTTGGAGCTTGTGAAAACATCGAAGTCGTCTTTTCTATTGTTTTGCTAATGCCCCTGTTTGAGACCCTTGCTTAACTCTTCTGAGGTTTGCTTGTTTGATGCAAGTCTGCCCTGAAAACACGTTTCAAAAATTTCTTTCATTAAAAAAATCGCGTCAATATCATTAGTCCAAAAGGTTTTTCAAGGGCTACCACCACCACCACCACCAGCACCACCACCACCACGACTACGACTACGGCTACGACTACGACTACCATTACCACCACGACGCCATTCACTTCGCTTGGGCTTGTGTACTACCCCGTCAAAAAGATTGTTTGGAGCAATGATTGATTGTTTGGTATGCCGGACACTCAGACAAATTCCAAATTACTTCCGCAGACCTTTGACTTGCTGGAAAGACGCTGAGAGGCTATGCATCTTTTCTTGCAGTCGATGGCGCGCAAACATGAAGCACCTCTACGATGCCAGGAATGCTGGCAGCTCCAGTTGGTTTTTCTTGCGCTGAGGTTGAATGCCCGTCAAGAATCTGCAAGACGTGCAGTGAAGAATGATGTGCAGGCATGGAAAACAAATTTGGTCCAGAAGTTGCAGCAAGCTCACCAAGCACATGACTCACGAGAAGCTTGGAGTATCAGCCGTCAACTTGCCGGGCGCCTGTACAAGCACCCGCGGCAGCCTCCCAAAGCCCAGCCAATCACCAAACAAGATTGGCTCCAGCATTTCCAAGCAGTGCAACGGGCTAGTGAGTGTTCGTCTTCTGCTGCGCAACCAGCCTGTCTGGACAATTCCTGCTTGCCTGGTTCTTTCCCTTCTTTGTTTCAAGGTGAGTTTGGGCAGCAAGCTTTGGCTACCGCGGCTGGGAGACTTCAAAAAGCACGGGCAACACCTCGCGGAGCTTTACCTGTCGAGGTCTGGTGTTTGCTATTACAAGGAAGAGAACACTTGCAGCCAGGCAAGCAGTTGATGCCGCTCTTTGAACTTTTACAAAGTATGGGAGTCAATTTTTCTGAATGGTGCGTGGGGCATGGATGTCCTATTCCCAAGCCTGGCGGTGACGCGGGGCCCAACGGTCACAGGGTCATCAACCTTTTGGATCCTCTTGGCAAAGTCTTTTACAAAGCAGCCCTGGATTTGCGCCTCGACCCACCGAAGGTTCATCAGTACGGCTACTCGGCCAAACGCTCGCGGAGGGATGCTATTCTCCAAATCAGTGCTTTGCTGGATCGGCTTCAACAAGCGCATTTGTGTACTGCGACCATCCTCTATGACCTGACAAAGGCCTTTAACGTGATCAGTGCCCACAGTGTTGTCTGCAATATACAAGAGGACCCTTCACTCCATGCGACGTTCAAAGCTCTACTTATTGATCTGCAACAACGTCTGCAGATTCGCATGCCCATCGCTGGTGACACATCGCTACTAGTTGACTTGGGAGCTGGAGTTTTGCAAGGAGGTGGAACAGGACCACGACTGTTCAGACGAGTATATGAAAACATTGTGCAGGACTGGCGTGCTAGCACGCCTGTGCCGAATTGCTTTACTCAAGTTAGCTACAATGGTTCGGTGCGCAATGTCGCTGTGGCCGCTTACGCTGACGATTTGGCAAGGGTTGAAGCTGCGCAGCAGGCTGGGCAAGTGGAGCAATGTGCGGCAGAACACACTGCTGCGTTGGAAAGGGCATTGCGACCGCACCGTTTGAAACTCAACTTGTCAAAAGTGAGTGTCTCCTAGCGGTCCGTGGCAAGGGATCGTACTCAGCAGCCAAAAGAGTTTTTCTGGCGATTGGAGCGGCCCTCCGTTGAAGCATGTGGTGAAGTACTTGGGAGCTCATCTGCAGTCGAACCTTTCTCTACGGGCTGAGGTGTCCAAGCGCATCGCAGCTGCTAGGACTGGCTTTGCAAAGTTTTCAGCTTTTTTCAAGAATTCCAAAATCCCACAAAACCACAAAAATATGGTGTTCAGATCAGTCGTGAATGAAGCGCTGCTCTCAGCACTCGAAGTCCGAAGCTTAACAAGCACAGACGTCCAGAGACTTGAAGCTGCCCGGGGAGTGCTACTACGACGGTGCTTTGGCAGAAGAGGCTTTGGTGCAGTTGGCGCTGACGATGCTCCTCGCTCAGTACCTCTTTCAGCGCTGCGGCAGCAGTCTTTGTTGGCTGACATTGCTTCTGAACTTCGCGTCCGCCGGCTTCTATGGCTCCGCGCTGCCTTGCAAGCTGAGCAAGCTGGAGAGGTGCGTCTTGACCTGGCAACTCTGTTTGGGCAGTTGACCTTTCAGCCTGCAGCCCCTGTAGATGCAAGTGGAGAACTGACGGAGTTTGCTCCTACGTTTTTGCACATCTTGGCAGCAGACTTACGAGCTCTTCTACCTGAATGGTCTGGTTTTTTGCCCGGGTGGCAACACACTTTTTTGGCCACGCCTCGAGCGACCATCGCCAAGCTTCCCTGTCTAGTGGAGCCAACAGAAGCAGCCGAACATCGCCCGGCAAGAGAGCTTGGAGTCAACTCCAGTCTGCCAGCCTCCCCCCTTGTTGGGGATCCTTCTGCTTTGGCCGCTGACTTTTGCACGCTGCAAGACGGGACGTCCCCGCAAAGTTTGACAGATGTCCCTGAACCTGAGTGGCTAGCTGGGGCCTACTGCGGCGAATGTGCTGCAGGGCCATGGCACAGCAGACGCTCTTTTTCCCAGCATGTTGTGAAACGTCACAAAGTGAGACATCCGTTGAAAAATACAGTTTGTCCGCAGTGCAGAAGGCAGTTCACAGAAGTCTCGGCGTGCCGCAGACATCTTGAGCGACAATCCTGTGGAAGTGTTGTGAACAACCACGGCCGTGCAGGCGCAATAGCTGGAGGCCTGGAGCAAGCTCGCTCAGCAGTTTTGGCTCAAGTTCACCACCCTGTGCCGCAAGCCAACCTGCCAAGCAGTTCGCGAGAGCTTGATGTCCGGGCTTGCTTTCACGGCCGAGGTGAACGAGAGCAGTCCTTCCCACCAACCAGCGCAGAAGCGTCCTCAGGCAGACCAACGAGCAGAAGCAACTGGACACAAAGGGAATTTGGAACAACAAGTTCAGCACCTCACCACTCAAGTGCGCAACTTGGTCAAAGTTGTTCAGCAGCGCGACCGGGACATCCGAGAGTTAGAAGCGTGGAGCTGCCACACCTTTTTGCTCAGCGAAGACAGTCAGCTAGCCAAGGAATTGCTGACAGCAATGCAGGCGTGGAAGTCCAAGACGCCAACCAGCGGACCCCACCCATTGGGAGCACCGCGATGGACAGTGGCAGGCACTGTGGCGCAGACCTTGCTGAAAGACAGTGAGTCCACTTTGTCTGACGTGGAAAAGTCCGTGCAGCTGGCAGTAGCCAAGGAAACCAGAGACCACAAAGTCTTGCTTAAGATTCGGCCACAGCTCTTGCGCCAAGCTGAGTGGAATGAAGCTGCTGATGTTCTGAGTGAGCTTGTAGTTAGGGCTGGTGGTGAAGTAAAGACAGGAGCTGCGCCACCCAATCCAATGATTCGTCAAGTTGGAAAGTAGGCAGTGCGGACACAGGGAACTCGAACGAGCACCCCTGCCGCCAATCCCCACTTTCGAGTGGGTTGCAGGCGTTGAGTTCGTGCTGATTTCTCATTTGATTTTTCCATTCTTGCCCATGGCCCATGACTTTCATTTGCAGTAAACTCTGTGCAATGATTGTGCTTCCACACATCTCTTGTGTGCGCATCGCAATACTGTGGTGCGGGGCCCCGGCACGAGTCTCACAGAGAGATTCAAGCGGACAGACAAGACAAGAGGGTTTTTGTAAAAGGTTTTCAGGTCAGAGTTCCATGAATGAATCAAGCAAACCTCAAAATGGGTTAAACAACGGTCTCAAAGGACACACATAGCAGAACAATAGAAAAATAGACAGGTCTTTGAGACCTCCTGGGCCACATCCACTAAAGCATTCAGGGTGTGGGAATAATTTTGCGAAAACTTTTCATTATTCCCTTCTATTTGGCTACTTTGTTTTCGACATTAACTTAAAGCCGGTGACAGTTGAATGTCCCACATTTGCCGCGCAATGTGTGCCTGCTTCAATAGTGCGATTGTTACACGCAACTAAAAACAATGTTGTTTGCTGAAGTAGGCATGTGATGCATACAACTGTTCGTATTGGTTTTGATTTAGCAATTCTTTACAGTGTCCTTTCATTTTGTCAAATTTGATCAAATTTGTATTTTTGTTGTTTGAGGTTGTCACAAAGCAAGTTTGCTGTTCCGAACGCAACGTTGTTTTGGTGTTTGGAAACGCACAATTTGACACTAAATGCAACTATATAAAAGGTTCAACAGTTTGTGCTTCGCGTCGTTGCGCTGCCCACACTGCAGGGTTCAAGTGGAATGTTTTTTCTATTTGTTTTGTGCTTTTGGCCATAGTCTCGTTTTGTCCATCCTTATGTCACAGTATTACTGAGCTGCTATAGACTGTAGAGAGAATTGCATCAATTTGTCTCGACTGTGAGTTTAAGAACCTTGAAAGATTTGGTCCAATTTCACCCAGGCTGAACCCCCATTTTCGCTTGCATCATGTCCAAGTATTGTTTTCCCCAATTCAACATTTGGAGAAAACTGCACGTTTTGCTCTCCCACCCTGTGGCGAGTTGGATGCCTGAAGCAAGATCCCCTGAGATTATTGGTCAACCACGCCCTTCACCGACAAAGCGTCGGACTTTGCTCAGGCTGTTAAATTTTGTAAAAGGCTTCAGGCTTTGAAGACTTCTGAAACGGACGTACCTTTTGCCACAAGGATATACAAGTACAAGAGTGTGGGCTTGCAGTTCTCAATCGGTTGAGATTTATGCAGTACGAAAACATATGAAACCAATTGCATGCATGCAAGGTTATTCAAACTTCGTGGGTGTTCGCAACCTTCTTGCATTGGGCTCTTTTGTCAGTCTTTCAGTTTCGGTTTTCATTGTGTACGTGTTGAAGCAGCCATTCAAGGTGAGGTCTCGATTGGTGGTGAAGGGCTCGCATGTGATCGCTCGCGCAAGTACATGATTGTTTGGCATCCGCACGGCTTCATCACCTGGGTTCCTTTCTTCATAGCAGGCAGGTATGCGTTGGATGCTCAGCCCTGTGGTGAGCATTGGTTTCCCGTAGTGGCGCCCGTGCTTTTCCGGGTTCCTATTTTCAGTGAGATGTTGATCATTCTGGGTGCTCGTCGAGTGGACAAAAAGGTGATTGACAAGATGCTCGCAAGGGGTGACAGCATTGCTATACAGCCTGGTGGAGTGAAGGAACAGGCCCAATCCAGCGAGAAGCAAGAGCAAGCCTTCTTCCCTGCAAGACTGGGATTCGTTCGCATGGCAATCAGGCCAGGCTCCTGTGATTGCGGTTGATGCTGATACAGTTCAGTTGAATTCTCCCACCGACCAACTTTAGGCATGGTGTGGACTTGCTGCCGGCCTATTTCTTTGGTGAGAATCAGCTCTACAAGAAAGTTGAAGGCTTTGAGTGGCTATCCAAGCTAATTAACAAGACAACAGGACCTTGCTCTTATTTCACTGCAGACCCGTTTTTAGGCATCAGTGGAAGACCTCCGTAATCAGGGTACCTGATGTGGCGGGCTTCGAGCCGGCAACAAATTCCCACCTTTGCGAAACGTAGCCTGGGGCCAAACCTCTTGATTCATTGCTAGACTGGTGACTTCCCAAAAAACAATTTCTGTTCCTGAGCCTCACTCGTCAATCCTATTGGATTGGGCTCGTGTTTCTGAAGCGTTGCCCTGCTTGTATAAGCAATCGAGTCTCAAGCCCCTTTTGGTTCATTCAACCTGCCCTCCTTCCTCTATCCCAACCCCTTGCCCCATCTTGGCTTTCCGTTTTGTGGGTCGTGTCCCTTGTACTCCTGATCTTTTAAAGAATATATAAGTATAGATATAGATGAAGCAAGTTCAATCGCTTTCCCATCTCGCGGTGACCCTAGAAAGATAATTCCATTCAGTGCGTTTCACACGCAAAGGCGAGTTAAACTTCTTGGACATATTTATCGAAGCGACAGCAATGATCCCATGAGGCAAGTTTCCTTTTTACCAGTTCCTGCACAGAGAACTGACTACGGCACCAAGCGAGTTGGGAAACCTCGGCAAACTTGGCTGCATCATACCAAAAAACATGTCTACGAAAGCACTTTAAGGCGTTATGCTTACTGTGAGACACAAGTAAACGACCAATTGTTATATGAAGCAGCTTTAAACATACATTTTTGGCAATCAGTCTCGTGCTGCGCCAACGCCTCGCTGCTGCAGTCGTCGAACTCTGGTCGATGTGAGGTATGGCTGAAAAAGTAGATATGAATATAGATAGATATTGACGCAAAGAATTCTCGCATTTTTGCACACCAATGCCAGAAACGATACCCTCTTTTTCTTTGATCAGAGAGTTTATCGAATAAACATTGAAGCAAGGTACAGATGGTGCAGGCCCGAATGCTGGCCCTAATGCTATCTTCTCTTTGAAGTGGCCCGTCGTTACTTTGAAGTTCGCCAATGTTACTTTGAAGTTCGCCAATGGCGGTGTTGCAGTGTTTGGTTGCTGAGCGTTGGTGAAGTAGCGCATCGCTGACATCGCTGGTGAAGTGGCAAAGGTGGCATCCCCGTCACATTGCAGCAGCGATGCACGCACACAGCAACCACAATGTCGCTGGGCGCTGGGAATGTCCGGTGTTTCACCAGACTTTCACCAAGGCTAACCAGTTCACCTTTTATTATGAAGAGACTCGCGCCGTAGCTGGCCCTACTGTCCCTGTGGACAGTTGTTAGAAGCAATACAAGGGACGTGTGTCCAACGGTCGTCGGGGTGATGGCGTGGCAGAGGGAAGGGAGGAGTTCAGCAAACCAGATGCCACTATGCGCGGCGTTCCAAGAGTTGAGGTGACGCCGCTGTTTTGTTGCAGGCGCTGTACGTCTTTCAACCCTTGGCAGCTTATTATCATGTCTAGGGAGCATGGCCCTGCGCGTGTGTTGTTTGTGTTTTCTGAAGCAAATTTTTAACACAGCGCCAGTCGTTCTATAAAGCTGCAGCGCGCGCCCGATCATATTACTACTACCTACAACTAACTATCCACTGCTACCACCAACTACCTATTACCTATTACCTATTGCCTACTGCTGCTACTACTACTACTACTACGACGACGACTACTACTAGTCTACTGCTGCTACTGCTACTGCTACTGCGACTGTTACCACTACACCGCTGCTTCTACTACTGCTACCACTACTACTACTACGACGACTACTACTACTATTACTACTACCACCACCCCCAATGCCACTACTACTACTACCACCTACTACTACATACTACTACTACTACTACCACCACCACCACCACTACGACTACTACTACTACTGCTGCTACTACGACGACGACGACTACTACTACTACCACTACCACTACGACGACGACTACTACTACTGCTACTACTACTACTGCTGCTACTACTACTACTACCACTACCACTACCAGTACCGCTACTACGACTACCACCACTACTACTACTACTACTACTAGCACTGCCACTACTACTACTACTACTACCACTACTACTACTACTACTACTGCTACTGCTGATACTACTACTACCACGACTACTACTACCACCACCACTACTACTACTACTGCTACTACTACTACTACTACCACCACCACCACCACCACTACTACTACTACTACTACAACACTGAGTAGTAGTAGTAGCAGTAGTAGTAGTAGTAGCAGTAGTACTGTAGTAGTAGTAGTAGTAGTAGTAGTAGTAGTAGGAGGTAGTAGGTAGTAGGTAGTAGGTAGCAGGCAGTAGGTAGTAGGTAGTAGGCAGTAGGAGTAGTAGGAGTAGTAGCAGCAGTAGTAGTATTGGTATTGTTACTGCTATTGCCACTAGTACTGCTAGTGCTGCCACTGCTAGTGCTACTACTACGACGACGACCACTACTACGACGATTACGACGCCGACGACTACTGCTACTGCTGCTACTACTACTGCTACTACTACTACTACTGCTACTACTACTACTAAGAAGGCCGCGTCACGCACGAATGGGTGACCAAAGGAAGGCTTTTACTGTGATGAGATTTGTGGTTCCCCGAAGAAACTTGACACAACGTCTGGCAAAACTAGTAATCTGCTTTGGAGGCTATCAACAGCCACTCGCGAGAAGATTTTTGGCAACGTACCCGTCATGTATGGATCATCCGCACACTACCTTCCAAAACGTATTTGTCAGCAGGCGCTGCATTCTCCTGTGCCCGTGTGTGGATGTAGGCCCTGCAACGTTGGAGACGTATTCGGCAAATCCAAAAGTATCGTTCCCCCCGTTGTTGTCTCACTCTTTGCCCATCCAAGGTTATCTATATAGTCTCCAAAGTCTAACTTCCTTCCCCCTTTGGTATGTTCACATTGAGTCAACCGATTCGTGCTTTCAAATTAGAGATGTTGTGGCCTTGAGAGGAATGACGCTTCCCATTGTCACTTCTCGCTTTGGCATTCCTATGGGCGGGTTGCTTCCTATCCCGTCACGATCTTACAATTTTGTTCCCACGGTATTCAGGATTGTCTTTTTCGCAACATCATGACTCACGACAAACATGTTTTGGCTGCGGCTAAAAACATTGAGGACGCCTATACATACACGCTATGGCCGCCCTGTGCCCGTCGGACCTCCAGAACCAGATCCGAGCGACGAGAGGGTGGAGGAGGTGTTTTTGAAATATTTGGCCGAGCTTCGCAGCTACCATTTTGCTTATATACAGTAAACATTTTTTCTGTGTATTCTCAAAAAGGGTTTGTTTGAACGTGAACACGATTTCACCTTAGGTGTTTTCACTTTGCCCAGGTAGACTCTTCGACGAGCATGCAAAAGATGCTAAACCAAATCATTTGTGTCTTTATGGGAATGTGTGCAAACGAGAGCAAGACAGCCAGGATGTTGCGTCGAATTTTCATGGGTTGTATTGGAAATTTGTTTGAAGGCTTGAATTCATGTCTTCGTTGGAGATGATGAATAAGGACTGTCTGCCATATGACGTCGCCCAACGGGGACTTCGAATTGTACGTTTGGATGGCAAACCAGTGCCAGAAGACATCCGCTGATTTCAAGTCCTGGCCGCAAGAACTGACACATCTCGCCTGGTGTCTGTTTCTTTAGGACAGAGCACCACTATATACTGCAGATTTGTGTGTCAACAAGTTGCAACGTTTGCACGGGTTTCGTTCGAGGTAGCAAGCTGACTAACTACGTCGGCCTGCAAAGGCTTTAATATTGGTTTCACTCTGTAAAGAGTATGTGGCCCTGCAGCTGGATTCCTTGCAGCGAAAAGTGTTTGGTGTGCCAAGCATCAGCAGATGTAAAGGAAGAGCTGCCCGTGCACTTTGACAGTTGATCAATGGCGGCCGCTGCAGCTGTGAGCGTTTAACCAAAAGACATCAAAGGATCAGCCAAGGCTTTCAGCATGTCAGTGTTGATTGTAAAACATGCAGTCTGTGGCTGTGTGGAAAGAACGTGACAGATGTGACATCATGTGGTACTAAATTGCTTGCGTGAGTTGACACTCTTGGCTCTGGATCATGGAATGCCCCAAATGGCGCTTGGGTGAGTTGGAAAAATCTTATTCCGATTTGGCGCTGCCCTTGTCTCAGATTGAAGCAGCTCGGGCTTTGAATGTATTCCTTGAAACTGCAGGAAGTTGCACAAACCAACCAATGTCAAATACACATTGATGTGGGTGACGTGGCCGCACAAAAGAGTTGCGGTTTTCATGCTGAGTCCGCACCTACACCACTTGGATAGACCAAGGGATTTGGCAACACTCTACACGGTTGCTTGCCTCGAGGAGAGCGGAATCTGCAAAGGGGAAGGGGTTCGCTTGTTGAATTGGATCTTTTGTGCGTCGCCGAACTGTGATGCTGTCATTTCTCAAAGTAGGAAAGCCACGACCTTTGATGCAGCCTTGGACCATCAAAAGCAAGCAGATATGTATATACATATTTATACAAACATATAACTTTATATATTAAAGCATACTCAAGTTTCACCATTGTGCACCGCAGGTCGCATTCAGGTTTAAGAAAAGGACCGCTTTCGCATGGTAGTGGAGGCAATGATCCCGGAAGGGTGAGGCTCAGATTTGCGACGCCATGGCTGGTGCGGAGGGTTCTCCGGTATGAGCTCAGCTGGAAGCCCTAGTGGAGCCGCAGGCCAGCAGATAGATGGAGCAGAACTGGCCAGGAGAATGATGAAGCTGCATCCACGGCAGCTACGGTAGCTGCTCAAGCTTGGCAGGGCTAAAGAGCCAAAGACATGATGAAAAGAGTTGGTACAAGACATTGCCCAAGCCTGGAGTCTTTGATCCTAAGAGTCGAGAAGAAGAATTGTCGATGTGGCGTGATGTTGCATTGCGATTGGACCAGTACTTAGCATCCTTTGATATCGAATACCTTGCAGACTTCGAAGCTTTGAGAAAGAACCCATCGACAGAGGTTGACAGCTCCTTGATGGGAGACAAGGAGAAAAGCCGCAGTTCATTCCTGTCTCGTCTTTTGGCGGGATTGTTGGAGAATCGATCCCTGCTGGTGTTGCGACAGGTTGCAGAAAGCAATGGATTGGAAGCCTACAGACAATTTTTGAGTTCCTTGGAGCCAGTGAGCAGGAATAGATCCCTCGGCATACTCAATTCTATTCGCGGCTGGTCTTCGTTTGACATGCGTAAGAACATGTTGTCGCAACTTGTGAAATTAGAAGATGCTTGTCGAGAGTATGAGAAGACTGGAGAGACATTGGCTGAAGAGATCAAATTTGCCGTATTGATGAAGTGAGGGAATATCAAGGCTTGGCTACAGCTGCAGGTTTCAGAATCCACAAGCTATGTCACTCTGAGAGAGAAGGTCCTGGAATATGACAAGGCAACATTGAAGTGGAGCCAAGCTATGATGTTGACTTCGGATGACAAAGGTTTGGTGCCTATGGATGTTGAGGACAAAGGGAGGAACGGCAAGGGGAAGACTAAAGACGGCAAGTCGAAGGGCGCAGGAAAGGACAATAAAGGCGGCAAAGGCAAAGGAGATGGAGGTGAAAAGGGCTATGAAAGTTGGAACAAAGAAGGCTGCGGCAAAGGAAACGGGGAGAAAACAATCTTCCTGGAACAAAGGCAATGGCAAAGGCAAAGTATGTTACGCGTGTGGCAAGCCGGGCCATGTGGCAAAAGATTGCTGAAGAGCTCACACAGAAGTCCCATGATAGGGGTTACCATCACCTAGACTACCCCTCTAGGTGGAGAGTATAGGAGGCTCGTAGAATAGGGTGAGTCCTAGGGCTATGATAGGCCTCGTAGTGCTAGAGCATGATAGGGCCTGTGATTGCCGCCGCCGTGGCACCCTAACCACGCTGAGCCATTCAAAGTGTTTCTGGACGCGGCAAACCTGGCCAAGCGCTATGAGGGGACTGCAGCGGAGCTTCGAGTGAAGAACTTGCCAGGTCAACGACAAGGAGCTCAAGCATGGTTCAACCATTTAGTTGAGTTTCCGGAAGGCATTGGATTTGAATTCTGCAAAGAGAACGCATGTCTTGGAAGAAAGGCAGATCAAGTCTTTGTGCTGATTCATGTCGACAGCCTGCCTGTACTATGGACAGGAGGAGGCAGTTCAACACTTCATTGAACAGCTGAGAGAAAAGTTTGAGATCTCAGTGAGCCAAATGAAGTCACCAGGAGATGAGCTTGGGAATGGCGCCTTATACATCATGCCAGGACGATACGCCAGTGACATGATCAAGGACTTTGAAGATTTCTATGGTCAAGCCAAGAAGCAAAAAGTACGATCTGAAGAACTAAGCTCAGAAGAAGTAGCGCAATACCGAAGTGGGTAGCGGTGTTTACTTGTCACAGGAAAGATTGGGTTTGAGCTTCACGATCAAAGAGCTTGCGTCCTCTATGTCAACACCAACGGAATTGAGCATGAGCTGAGCGAAAAAGCTAATTGGTTATCTCAAGTCAACGGAAGGCCAACGCGTGAAGATTCCATTTCCAACAGGAGGTTGTGGTATGCGCATACTATCAAGGCAAAAATGGTTGTTAGGGACATTCACGGATGCAGATTGGAGCGGACACGAAGGACATCGCAAATCTACATCTTCATCTGTACACGCGTTGAATCGATGTGTTGTTTTTGCAACATCGAGAGGACAGAAAGCAGTCAGTCTGAGCAGTGCTGAGTGAACTACATGCATTGGTTGGAGGCTGGTGGCGCGTGTGATGGAGTACTCATTCGGCAACGCCTCAAGTTTCTGACAGACGAAGAAGTCCAACATGTTTGCTTGATGGACAACTCAGCGACGAGACAGATCATGCGCAAAAGAGAAAGTGGAAAGCTGAGGCGCACCAGTGGAAAGCTTCTATGGTGTCAAGAGATGTTTTCTTCAAAGGAACTTGAAGTCAAGCGGATTGAAACAATTCACAATTGTCAGACATTGGGACATAACCTCTTAGCCAACAGAGGTTGAAATTCTTTCTGCGCAAATGCCATGCAATTGACAGAGATGGAAAGAGAGCCGGTGAGAAGGAAAGACAGGAAGTTGAAGAGAAAGAGATGCAACGTGGCAAGACTCAATCATTAGCCAAAGCACTCGAGAAAATTGTGTAAGTGGCGCAGGCGGAAAGAACTGAAGTGACATTGCAGGAGGAGAACTTGTCAAGGACACGGTTCTGGGTGTTCCTTCGTGCAATGGCAGTAGTTCTGATTGGTGTATTCCTGACAAGCAATACAAGAAGCTTGAGAAGAGAATGGAAGAAAACGAATTTGCTTTGAGATTTCAGATCTTAGGATTGAAGTCAGCAAAGGATGAAATTGAGGAAGCCAGACTCGAGTTCAAGTCCTATGTGGTCAATCAAGGGCAGTTTGATTCAATGAGAGATGATTGTTGCCAACGCCTTCACAGAGCCACAGCGAAACAGAACGGTTATGTGGAACAAGAAGGGTAAACTTCAGAAGATCAGAAGAGGAAAGATGCATGAAGTTTCTTGAGAAGGGCAATCAAAAGTGGGGACGCGAGAAGATGGCAGAAAGACTCATGAGACATGAAGCAACTGCGAGGAGACGAGGAGTCGATCACACAGAACCACACAGAAGAGAGGACGAGACGAAACGCCTTCGATAAAAGGAAATGGCGCAGGGGCATCAAGCTCAAGAGAAGAAAGAGGAGGACGTGAAGAGAGTTTGAGTGGCGTGACAGCCACAGTTCTACTGGATGATGGAAGAGAAGTTGAAGTTCCAGTGGAATATTTGAGTGCAAACTGGTGCCAAGAACAAAGGATGAGAGGTTGCTCACAGCTGCTCCACCATTTGAACCACCAGGTGAACCAGAAGAAGAAATTGAAGGACCAGAAAGTCCAGATCATGACGTGACAGATGCAGCAGCAGTGAAGCGACCCGAGAAGGAGAAGCAACGGATGAACCAATAGACGGTGATGAGAAGATGAACACGTTGAGATCCAGAGCATTGCAGGCAAGAGAAGAGTTGTTGAAACTTGAAGACAGTATCGAGTTCTACAATAGAGTTGGTGACAGAGTGAAGCTGCGAGAATTGTAAGCAGAGCTACAAAAAGTTGCAATTTGTTTTAATCACTGATTGACGGCGTGAAAGGCAGCATTAACTCCGCCGCCAAAGGAGGAGTGCGTAGAAGCTTAAAGTCTCAAGTTTCACCATTGCGCACCACAGGTCGCATTCAGGTTCAAAACAAGGACCGCTTTCGCAATATATAGTTAAACAGCAAACGTACCATGTCAGCAATCCTGGTCAAGATACAAACGCGCATCAGAGCCAAAATTGTAGTTTTCCCGGCAGTGCTCTAATCGAAGTGCACGTTGTTCCCGTGCAAGTATGTAGCCTGCCTCGTGAACTGAGTGAGGGCACTTTTGGCTTTGTACAGGAGCCTATAGTCGATTTCTACCAAATAGCGATGGCCTCCAACCTAATGGCGATGGCCTCCAACCTATATATATATATATGTCTATGGGATGTTTGGCCATCCGCCTTGACATGGTACGTAGCCACCCTTTACACAAGACCCCGTCGAAGTGAACGTCATTGATCCCCAAGTGGTCCTCGATGTGCAAGTGAATGTGCACGTGATCCCGTTGCCACATGCAAGTCCTTGTTCAATCGAAAAAACAGGTGATCTGGATCTACAGTTGACGTTTTGCCAGGACTCGGAAATGAGTCCTTTCTGGACTTGATGAGGAGGGATCTGCAAAGGATTGTGTGGTCAATTGCATGGCAAGAACAACCTGCAGGAGGCTCTTTGGGAAGACGGAGAAGAAAACGAAGCCCTGCTCTGCTACTGTGAGAGAGGACCTCATTATGTTTGAATCCTGCACGGAGCACTGCGTGTTGCGGACACAGTTTTCGCTGCGCAAGAGGAGCTTTGCCACCTCCGCCGGCAGGTT